CCAGCATATTTTGAAGAAACATTTGTAAGCCAGGCTTGAACGTTTTCATTCATCAGGGAATTGGTTATAGGGAGCTTCCCATGAGGCCATATGTTAGAGCTGATGGAAAGATGCCAACACAGCAAGACTGGGAGTGTGAGCTTCCTACTCACTCAATTTCATTGCTGCTTTGAGATCTGCTTGAGCCTATTAGGATAGCGTTTATTACTTCCATTTGAAGAAGGGATGTTTCTGTACATGTCCATTTTTATATTTGGTTTGTTTAAATTAATATCCAACTCAAAAGGAACAGCGTGGGATTCATATTCGTTCAGTGTTCCCTGGTCAGGCATTCAGTCTGTTCCAGGGCCAGGAGCTATTTTTCATAAGGAGAATAGTTAACTATGGAAAAAAGTACAAATGTGCTCTAAAATCCAAGTGGGCTGTACTGTGATTCAATAGTGTATGTCACCTCAAAAATTCAAAGGGGACTTTTAAGTTTTGACTATGACAGTGTGGCTTGTTTGGGACTAAAGTTTCTGCCAAAAACAACTGTAAAAGCTCAACAGTATGTAAAATAATGGTCTGAAGACCCCAGAGAGCAACCAGTGGCAGGTCTGGAAGGACTGCAGTCCTTGAGAGGGGAGTCACATGAGGTGAGTTCCACCCAACAGCAGCTTTTTTTTTTTTTTTTTGAGACAAGAGTTTTGCTCTTGTTGTCCAGGCTGGAGTACAATGGCATGATCTTGGCTCACTGCAACCTCCGCCTCCCAGGCTCAAGCCATTCTCCTGCCTCAGCCTCCCAGGTTGCTAGGATTACAGGCATGCACCACCACACCTGGCTAATTTTTTTGTATTTTCAGTAGAGATGGGGTTTCTCCATGTTGGTCAGGCTGGTCTTGAACTCCTGACCTCAGGTGATCTGCCTGCCTTGGCCTCCCAAAGTGCTAGGATTACAGGTGTAAGCCACCGCTCCCAGCCTCTAGCTTTTTACCTTAAGTTGTTTCCCAGCTTGCAGAATGGTAAAGTAGAGCCCAATTAGGAAACACAAGTCCCACTGTTTGGAGTTTAGATTTAGCAAAGTGACTGGAACTTAAGAGGCAAATTCTATGAGAGGATGACACCGCAGAGAAGGAAGACCAAAACCTGTGTGTAAATGATCTCTTGTCATTGACCAACTCCCAAGGTGCACATATGCAGGGAAAGACTCAAATAACCAAAAGAATACAGCATCTGGGAAGCTAGACCGCTGAAGACAGATTGTAATAGCCACATGATGTTGGAGATTAGATTCAGTGGTTGGAATTTAGCCCGATGCAAATCAAGGGGCCTTTGTAAGTACTCCAGAATTTCAGCTGGGACCCTGGAAATTCCAGGCTTTAGGAATAGGGTTAAACCCTAAAAGTAATAGCAAAATTGAAATAAACATGACATAATATAGCCTAAAACTGAGCTACAACAAAGATAATCCAATAGTACTGTTGCTAGAAAAATATAACTTTTTCTGGAAAAAACCTAAATTATCCAGAGCTTTAAATTTTTAAACTTTTTATATCAGGTAACCAATCAAAAAGTATGAGGCATAGTTAAAACAAAATAAAATGAAAGATCAAATGAGCAAAAACAAGAGGAGAAAAAGACTAGAAGCAAATACACAGATAATTCAGATATAATTATCAGGCAGGGACCTTAAAATAACTATGATTAATAAATATATTACAAAAAGAGGAAAAGATAAATAAAATATAAGAAATGGGGAATTAAAGAGAGAATTGGAATTTATAGAATGATAAACAAACATTCCATAACTGAAAAATATAATATGTTAACTTAAAAACTTTTTGGATGAGTATACATAATAAAGAATGAGTGAACTGGAAGACAGATTAATTTTGAAAAATCCAAACTGAGTCATAGAGAAAAAAAGTATAAATAGTAGAAGAAGAATCAATAAAATTGAAAATAGGAAAACAATTGAGAAGAAACAAATGAAATGCTGACTCTTCGAAAAATCAATACATTGATAAACCTATAGCTAAACTGACCAAGAAAAAAATCACAGAAAATACAAATTACCAATATTAGGAATGAAAGAGGAGATACCACAGACATTAAAAGGATAATAAGGGAACAGCACAAACAACTCTATGTTTAAATATTCCAAAATTTGGACAAAATGGACAAATTTCTTAAAAGGCAGAAATTGCTAAATTTCATTCAACAAAAAATAGATAATTGAAAAAATCTATATCAGTTAAATAGTTGATTTTGCAATTAAAAACTTCATGAAAGAGAATTCCAGGCCCTGGAAATTTTACAGGCAAATTCTACCAAATATTTAAGGGAGAAATAGCACCAATTCTTCACAATGTTTTCGAGAATGTAGATGAGAAGGGAAAACTTCCTAACTCATTTTATGAGGCCAGCATTTATCTAATACCAAACCAGACAAAGAAATTACAAGAAAACTACACTCTGGTGTCTCTCATAAACACTGATATAAAAATTCTAAACAAAATATTCACAAGTCAAACCTAGTAATATATAAAGGACATCATATATCACAACCAAATGGAGTTCATCCTAGGAATACAGTTTGTTCAATGTTCAAAAAACAATTAAAAAGACATCATCCTAACAGGCTGATAGAAAAATATACTTAGATGAAGATATTTTTAAAATGTAAGATCTGTAAACCAAAAACTACAAAATGCTGATGAATAAAATCAAAGAGCTAAGTAAATGGAGAGATATATTATGTTCATGGATTGGAAGACTCAACATTGTTAAAATGTCCATTGTCCCAAATTTAATCTACAGATGCAACATAATCCCTCCCCTCCCCAAATCCCAGTAACTTCATTCTAAAACTTATATCAAAAGACAAAGGAACTGGAATAACCAAACAATTATTTTTAAAAATTAACAGTCTGAGGAGTCACATTATGGAATCTTAACACTAATTATAAAGCTACAGTATTCAAGACTGTGTGGTATTGGTAGAGGGATAGACATATATATCAGTGTAACAGAACAGGGAGCCCACAAATAGAGACATACAAATATAATCAATGATATTTGACAAAAGTGTAAAGGCAGTTTGATAGATAAAGAACAGGCTTTATAACAAATGGTGCTGGACAACTGGATGTCCATAAGCAAAAAAAAAAAAAAAAAATTGAATCTCAACCTAAACCCTCACACCTTATCCAAGAAGTAACCTCAAAATTGTTCATAGAATGAAATATAAAATAGAAAATGTCTAGAAACTTTGTTTTCTATAGGGCGAAATCTGTACAATCTTTGGTTTGGTGATGAGTATTTAGATATTTTATCAAACAGCATAATCCATAAGGGAAAAAATGATATATTAGGCTTTATATGAATTAAAAACTTTTGCTCTGCAAAAGACAATGTAAGAGAATGCAAAGACCAGTCATTGCCTGGGTAAACTACTTGTATATCAAATATCTAACAAAGGATGTTCTCTAGAATATATAGAGAACGCTTGAAATTCAATGATATGAAAACAAACAATCCAGATTAAAAAGCAGGCAAAAGATCTGAACAGAGTTCACCAAAAAAGACATATGGATGGAAAATAAGCTCATGAAAGATGGTCAACACAATTAGCTGTAGGGAAATGTAATTAAATTGAATTACAATCACAGTAAGATACTACTACAGACCTGTTAGAATGACATCCCCCACCAGAGTTGTTACATTTGTTACATTCAAACCTACACTGGCACACCATTATGACCCAAGATCCATAGTTTACTCTTGGTGTTGTACATTCTATGAGTCTTGACAAATATATAACATGTACGCACCATTGTAGTATCATACAGAATAGTTTCACTGTCCTAAAAGTCCTCTGTGTTCTGCCTATTAATCCCTCCCTTCTCCTAATCCCTGGCAGCCACTAGTCTTTTTACTGCCTTCATACTTTTGCCTTTTCCAGAATTCATACAGTTAAAATCATACAGTATGTAATCTTTTCAGATTGGCTTCTTTCACTTAGTCATATGCATTAAATTTACTATTGACTCTTCAAAAGTGTCAAGGTGACAAAAGACAAGGAAAGACCAATAAAAAGTCAGGCAACTAAGAACATATGGTAATAAAATCCAATGTGGCATTCTGGATAGGACCCTGGAATGGAAAGAAGACATTACTGGAAAAACTGGAGAAATTTGAATAAAGTCTCTAGTATAATTAATGGTATGTATTTTACCAATGTTAACTTCTTACTTTTGATAAATATATCATGGTTATGTAAAATGTTGACACAGGAAGTTGGGTGAAGGACATATGGGAACTCTCATACTATCTTTGAAACTGTCTGGAAATACAAAATCATGGCAAAATAAGATGATAAAAATGGTTTTAATTATAGAAATATGTAATTTATATCTAACATATATTAAGGAAGTAAAAGTATAATGTGCACGTTTTAAAAATTCCTTTAGCTGGGCATAGTGGTGCATACCTGTGGTCCCAGCTACTCAGGAGCTGAGGTGGGAGGATCACTCGAGCCCTGGCGGTCAAGGCTGCAGTGAGCTGAGATAGCGCCACTGACGTACAGTCAAAACATTGTATAAAAGTCACTTGTAGTAATTTTCTGTGTGGTCATGCCACTAACTTGAGAGACAGCCAGGGTCAAGTGCTTCTGTTTATTTTAAATTGGGGAAATTGTAGGTTTTTTCTTTCTGTTTTCTTTGAACTGTGCAAAAAAAATTATATATATCTAGTCTTGCTTCCATTCCAGTCCTGTCCTCCCTGTTTCCTCCCTCTCCTTATAGATAACCATCTTTATGAGTTCACATTTCCCCCCTAGTTTTTTCCTGAAATGTTAAGCAAACTATCTCCTTTCTTACAAAAACACTTTTCTGCAGCTTGCTTTTTTCACTTAACACTTATCCTCCAGATGACACCATATCAGTAAACAGAGAGCTTCTTCATTTCCTTTTTATTACTGCATCATGCATTTTTATAGTTTATTCAATCAATTCCCTATATACTGATGAATAAGTAACCTAGTGGATGAATGACAGTGACTCCCTGGGATAGGTCCCTAGAAGTGATATTGCTAAGTCAAATGGTAAATGCATATTTACTTTTGGTACATACTGTAGTAGTGTCATACGAATTTGCATCTTCACAAGCAAGTTATAGAAGTTCTGTTTTTCCACATGCATCTTGTCAAAATATTGGATTTTGCTAATCTGATTAAATGAAAAACAGCATTTCAGCACAATTTAAATTTGTATTCTTTTTATATAGTAAAGACTCATTAAATAAAGGCCACTACAGTTTCTTGGTGATCTGTCTACACATATATTTTGCTCATGTTTTTACTGAAATGCTTATTTTAGTCTTCTACATTCTTAAGAGCTCTTTGTATAATATGAATCTTTGCCTTTCCCTGTGATATGTCTTTTATTTGTTTTTTGACTTTGCTTATAAGAATTTTTTTGTCATGAAGATATTTTATTTTAGTAAAGGTTTCCTGAATTACTAAGTAGTAAAATTTTACACAACAACTTAAGATTCCTATAAAAATTAACATTATTTCATTGGTGCAGGGAGAAAACCCTGGAACAAAGTATGAGAACCACTGTTGGAGCTGTCTGCCCAACTGAATTTTCTTTTACCATTCTATATTCTTTAATTTATTTATTCAACAATGTGTACTGAGTCCTTACTCTGTGCTAAGCACTGTTATTTAGTGTCCTGGGAGCAGCATTAGCTGCATTTAGGTCAAATGCTCCTGTCACAGCCTGGGTCTTAAGACATGATTTTGGCGATGGCTGCCTTTACATCCCTGTTTCTCAGAGTGTAAATGAGGGGGTTGAGAATTGGTGTGAGAATGGCATATACCACATTGCCCATGATGTGGAAGTCGAGGGGCAGGTCAGCCCTGTAGGCCACGTAGGCTATGGCAATGGATGAGTAGTAGGTGCCTACCACCAGGAGGTGGGAGCTGCAGGTGGAGAAGGCTTTTGCCCGTCCTTCTCTGGAGTTGATGCGAAGCACCGAGGCCAGGATGTGGGCATAGGAGAAAAGCACAAGGAGAAGGGGTAGGAGGGACACCACCATGGCGATGCAGAACCCCATGAGGGCCTGGGGGGTGGTGTCAGAGCAGGAGGCCTGGACCACAGCCAGATGATCACAGAAACAGTGGTAGATGTAGGCAATGCTGTTATATGCCATCTGGGAGGTTCTTACTACTGCTGGGATGGGCAGGAGGAGGGCAGTGAGCCAGGCACTGGCTGCCAAGGTAGCATTGGTCTGTGGGTTCATGAGAACAGGGTAGTGCAATGGGTGGCAGATAGCCACATAGCGGTCATAGGCCATGACCACCAGGATGAAGGCTTCTGAACATGTAAAACTTTGGAAGAGGTACATTTGCAGTAAGCAGGAAGAAAAGCTGAGGAAGTGGTCCCCAAGCAAGAATAGGGACAGCATCTTGGGGACAGTGGTGGTGGTGAAAAGGATGTCCAAGGTGGAGAGATTGATCAGAAAGAAGTACATGGGCTTGTGGAGGCTGGGCTCTGCCACCACAGCCACCAGGATCAGGGCATTGCCCATCAGGATAAGAAGGTAGAAGAGGAGGAAAATAAAAAACACAGGGAGGAAGAAGGTCTCTGGCAGAGAGGGGATGCCCACCAGATAAAAGACGGGTGAGCGTGAGCCATCCACTGATTCATTACAGGCTGTGGCATCCATGGTGAGACAGAGCTGGATTTCTCAGAGATGGGCAGCTGGAACATCTAGACATTGGGAACATCTGGAAATCATAGAAACAAAGGATTCTGGAGTAGTAATTCTATAATGTTTACCCTGTAGGTAATATAAGCACAATTATTTACAGCCAACTCTAGAGGACTGGTGGTAGACTGATATTTACTTTTACCATGTGAACCCAAAATTTGTCCAATAGTAATCATTAATGAATAACTTACCAAATAGAAGTCTGTACACTTTGTTTAGGAGATGAAATGATAAAAATGAAGAAGGCAGGCAAAGTTCCTGTCTTCCTAGAGTTTCTAATTTACTGGGAAAATCCAATTTAAACAGTTGATGGTTGAATCATGATTGTGAAACTGCTTTGGAAAGGCTTCTGCTGGTCTTCATCCTAGGTTCCATGCTGTGTGGTTTGGGTTGATGTCAGATCTCATAAATGAAGTCCTTGAGCCCATGTCTCTACTTTTGCACTCACTCAGAGTTCCACTAAGTTCCACTGAGGGGCTTCTTTCTCCAAGGCTGTCTGTAATGTACAGCTGCTCACACTCTTGTTATGTTTCTTTCTTGTATGTCTTTCTTGTATGAGTAGTGGTTCTTTCTGACTCCATTTAAGCTAAGTGTCTGGAATTCTATGCTCCTGCATAGATTGTAACAGGTTATGATAGCCCAATACCTTCACTTCAATGACTAGGGAAACCTGGATAAATTACACAAAATCACATTTTTAAACAAATTGAGGGATAATGGGTGCAATAAGGATGAGATGAAGTCAAACTCCAAGGGATGGGAACCCTCCAAAATTAACTAGTAATCACCAGCTCTTTTGTTCTCTGGGAGTATTTGATTTGGGGACCATGGTGTGGCTTAGACTTGGACCAGGCAGAGAGTCATAGATGAGAGAAAGAGAAACCAGTAAGACTTGTGATAGTCAAAAAAGGCTCACAAAACATACTGGAAATTTGAAGCACTGCAACTGCGTAACTTTTCCCCATGGGACATCTTCTGAATTCTGGCTATGCAAGGGAGGCTAGAAAGCTGGGCTGAGGGCCTCTAAAAGACAAAATCTCCTGTAATCCCTTATGAGAAAGGAGGAAGAGGGATTTCCTCACACAAATATTGATATTCCCCTCAAAACATTTTACAAAGATTTGAGGCTATGTGTGTATGTAGTGGGAGGGAAAAGGAAGGATAGGGAATGCAGCTAATGACTTAAGCTCAAAATCACCAAGGGTAGATGCAAATCTCCCACCCTCCTTCAAGGCTAAGGAGACAAGGATCAACCAGGCTATCAAACCAAAACTCAGAAGGGCCATACCTTAAGAAGAAGAACAAACCAAAGTTGGACTAAACCTTACTAGAACTGAAACTCAGCCCTAACCTAACTCAAGCTGTAATTGGCTTTAGGAAGCCAGCCTACCTAACTCTACTTGCCTAACAGAGAAAAGGGAGGAATCTGTCTGGTGAGAGACATCATCTGGGGGCTTCTATGAATCTAATATAAATAACATTCAATGCACAACATGAATTATTGCAAAAGGCAGGAAAATGTGACCAACAACGATCAAGAGGGAAAATATACAATAAAAGTTGACATGTAGATGATCCCATTACCTGAGTTAGCAAACAAGGACTTGAGTATAACTATGTTTATACATTAAATAAAAGCAAGGAAATGTTGACAAAATGGATTTAAAAATGGGCAATTTCTAGAAAATTGGAATCTATTTTAAAAAGCATCAAGCAAACCTTCTTGAAGTGAACTATCCAATATTTGAAATTAAAAACTCACTGAATAGGTATCATGGCAAACTGCACACAACAGAAGATGGGATTAGAGAATTGGAAAATAGATCAGTAGAAAATATCTAAAGTTAAGCCCAGAGATAAAAGAGTATATATTGTATGATTTAATTGATATTAAGTGTCAGGCAAAACTAATCTATGATATTATAAATCAGTATAGTGATTGCCTATGGGTGTGAGGACTGACAAGAAGCAGGCAAGAGCATACTTTCTGGGGTGATAGAAATGTTCTATGTATTGAGTTGAGTCTTGGTTACATATATATTTATGAAAGTTCACTGAACTATATACATAAAATCTGCCCATTCTCTTCTGTGTAAATTTTACTTCACTTAAAAAAACACAGTAATAAATACAATACAAAGAGAATAAGAAAAGGCAGGAACAAGACTAGGAGAAGATATTTTCCTATTTTCAATACATTTATCAAAGGCCATGTATCCAGTGTATATAAAAACCTCCACAACCATTAAGAAAAAGATAGATGACCTAATAGACAAAGGGTCAAAAGACTTGAATAGGTGGGCCCTTTACAAAAGAGAACATCCGAATGGCCAATAAGAATATGAAAAAGCTAGCCATCTAGAAATGCAAATTAAAGTACAGGATGTTAATAGTACATACTCTCTAATATGTCTAAACTTAAAAGGACTGCCAAGTGTTGGTGAGATATGTAGTAACTGGTACCCTCATACGTTGATGGTAACTAATACAACCACTTTGGATAAGAGTGTGGCAACATCTTCTTAAACAACTTATATGACTCAGGACATATAACCAAGAGGCAAGACAAGGTATTCAGCTATTTTTGTTTGTTCATTTGTTTAAGGCACTCGGGTACAATAAAGCCCACAAATATTTGGGATAGATAATATATAGATATCTAGAGATATAAATATAAATCTATATAGAGATATAGATCAGCTAGAGATACAGCTAAAGATACAGCACATTTCCAGCAACCCAAAAAGCGCCCTTGCACCTGATCCAATAAATTTCCCTACCCCTATTGCTGTGACTTTTGTCACCATGGAATAATTTTTTCTGTTTTTGATGTTCATCTAAATGGTTTTTGTTAGGCTGGGCATGGTGGCTCACACCTGTAATCCTAATACTTTGGGAGGCTGAGACAGGCAGATCACTTGAGCCCAGGAGTTTGAGACCAGCCTGGGCAACATCGCAAAACCCTGTCTCTACAAAAAATTTAATAAATGAAAAATAAGATTAAAAAAATAATTTTTTTGTCATATTACAATAAAAGGAACGGCAGAATATGCCTTTTGTGAGATGACTTGCTTCCAGATTGACTAAAGGCATATTCTATCCAACAGCAGAAACAGAGATTGTAGGATTCCCTGTGTAAGAGCATGACTTTTCTTCTCTCCTGTCAGCTACTGCTGTTCAGCAGGTGTTCCTGATTAACCATTTCATTATCACTATCACCATCCTGTAGTCTTCCCCAGCCCCAAATAAGATGGTACTACAGAAATCTGGAAACTTGGGAGTCTTGGTTTGTTGCTAGAGAACAAGTCATCTTGTGACAAGTGCCCAAAGGCAGAAGACCCCATCCTACAGGTTGTTCTCCTCCTGTCAAGGAAGAAGAGATGTGTGCTTTCATCTGCCCATAGAACTGGAAATCTTTAACTGAGGGAGAATATTGACTGTTGTACTGTGTTGTGCATGTCTCTGAAGAAACAATCCAGGAGCAAGTTCACGTTTATGTTTACACCATTGCCTCTTGAACCTTAATGATTCTAAGATTACTTTCTTTGATTTTCCCTATTTCTCTTACCTCTAATAAAATATCTCTCATGCCACTGAATCATAAAAATACCAAACCTGGAAATATCCAGTTTGTTTTTCCTTTTTTCTTTTAGTTTTTATTTATTTATTTATTTTTGAGATGGAGTCTTGCTCTGCCTCCCCGGCTGGAGTGCAGTAGTGCAAGCTCGGCTCACTGCAACCTCTGCATCCTGGGTTCAAGCGATTCTTATACCTCAGCCTCCTGAGTAGCTGAGATTACAGGCATGTGCCACCATGCCCAGCTTATTTTTGTATTTTTAGTAGAGATGGGGTTTCACCATGTTAGCTAGCTGGTCTTGAACTCCGGACCTCAAATGGTCCACCTGCCTGGGCCTCCCAGAGTGCTGGGATTACAGGTGTGAACCACTGCATCAGGCCAGCTTTTTCTTTTAATATACAAAGGGAAAAAGACAAAAAGATCCAGGGCTTTTCTGTCATGGCCAGCGAGCCACAGAGACAGTACTGGAGCCCAGGCTCTAACCCCCAGATCAGCATTCTTTCTTCTGTAGTTGGTTCCCTGGATAATTTGGAAGCTCAAGTTTTCATAAGAGGAGAGACTGAGGCAAAGATTTTCTCTTCTCCATATCTTTGGTTTGTTCTTTAGTTTCCTAAGTGTAGGATGGCCTGGTTCTCTGTCAGAGAGTGAAAGCTGGTAAAATGTCTTTCTAAAAGTCACATGGGGCAGGGCACAGGGGTTCACACCTGTGATCCCAGAACTTTGGGAGGCCAAAGTGGGAGGATTGCTTGAGACTAGGAGTTCAAGTCCAGCCTGGGAAACATAGCAAGACCCTGTCTCTACAAAAAATTAAAAAATTAGTCAAGCACAGTAGTTTGTACCTGTGGTCTCGCTACTCAGATGGCTGAGGCAGGAGGATCACTTGAGCCCAGGAGTTCAAGACTGCTATGATCGTGCCACTGCACTCAAGCCTGGGCAACCCAGGGAGACTCTGTCTTTTAAACAAACAAAAATTAACAAAAGGACACATAGAACAGACCACTCCATTGTGAATGCTCCTTGAAAGAGTGTTCTACAGATCAGCCCCTGTTATGCAAGCAGGAAAGCAATACTGCTGCTCCTCCACTTAAGAGATAACCCTCTGCTGGGCACAGTGCCTCACGCCTATAATCCCAGTACTTTAATATAGAAAAAAAAAAAATTAGCTGGGCATGGTGGCGCATGCCTGTAGTCCCAGCCACTCGAGAGGCTGAGACAAGAGAATCGCTTAAACCTGGCGGGCAGAGGTTGCAGTGAACCAAGATCGTGCCACTGCACTCCAGCCAATAGAGCAAGACTCCATCTCAAACACAAAACAAAAACAAAAACAAAAAAAACACAGAGATAACCCTCAGTTAACAAACCCAACCTGCCTAAGCAAATCACCAGGTTTTTCTAATACCCAAAGAGATGCCAACTACATTATTCTGAACATTGTTACCGCCCAGGGAAGTCAATTATGGATTGAATGTCACTGAGTTAGGCTGAGTTGGGGCTCGAGGGGTAGAAATTGAGAGCCATCGAGCCTGACTGAACCTATCCTCCTGCCTCCTCCCTCAATTCTATTAAACAGCAGGGGAGACAGATTCTGAGTCTGAAGTCCAGAAACAGTGTCTTTTCAAAGTCAACCAACAAAATCATAGCAGAAGTAGATCTTAAACCCGGTGTTCTGGCTCCCACCCAGTCTTCGTAGGATTTTTTTAGGAGAGAGGATGATTTCTTAATCTGCTATTCAAAGCCTATTATCTTGCAGCCTTGTTTCTCCTTATTCTAGTCAAACGGCAACTCCTGGCTCTTGCCTTGTGCTTCTGCCAAACAGCTCAAATATTACCTCCTCCAAGACATCTTCTATGGTCCTGGCTGGTTCAGGAGCCTCTTTCCTGGTCTCTTGAAGTTCCTGTGCTTCTGTTTGTCATCATTATGATTACACTGGGTTGTCTCGGTCTATTTTTACGTGTCACCCAACCAGGAGCACTTTCAGGGAAGTAATGGGGTCTGATTGTTTCTGTTTAATAATGCACCACCACCCTTCCCGGGAGCTTAGTGCTCCAGAATGCAGCTTCCCAACTTGCCTTGTTTTGCTGATAAATCAT